AAGCTTGGGATTGCTCACAGGACATGCAATCTCAGGATTTCGACGATCTGCATAACATTGATTTAACGTTCGCTTCATTGACTTGGGACTGCACTGCTCCATTCAGACTCTGAAGTATGGACAAGATCAGGCAATTCCTCTGCTCAGCGTTGCTTCCCCTCTCTTTGATGGCAGGTGGTCCAGAGCTGTGAATCCAGATTTATGATAATGGGCTTGTTTTGAAAGGCACTAAAACCATTTTAAGGATGAAATATATGTAAGACGCTTTTTGAGTTGCATATATTATTTTTTGAATAATTTTTTTTTTACTTTATTCTTCTTGACTTCTATGTGATTCCCTAGCAAAATTTAAAAGGTTCTTAAAATCCTGCCAATTGGCTGAGTTTTCTCCACCTCAGCTGCCACATGGATCAAACCGTTTTTTGTATATAGCAATTTGCAAGCTATAAAGAGACAGAGAGAAAACACACTTCTTGGATTAAATGCTTCAATTGTAAATTCGAACAACTTGTAAAAAGGGAATCTTTGTGTTGATCACGACTAGTTGTGAAAACACAATGATCCCAAGTGGTGTACATGGCAAACAGCCATAGACTAGCAATGTTCCCAAGCACCTCTGGGAGTCAGAGAGAGTTAAAAGGCTTTCTGTCACGGACAAGAAGTTAGGAGTGAGAAAGAATCATTGGAGAAGTTATGCATGACATTTCCCTGGTGGTGCAAGATTGTGAGCAGCAATTCTACTGCAAGAAGGTCCCTAAGAGTAGCTCAAGAGCAGCTAGGGCAAGAGGAGGAAGAAGGAACAGCACGTTACACCATATGGATTAGAATTAAGTTGGACTGTTTGCCCCACCCTGGACAATACAAACTGGAAGATAGTGATGATGAGACAAGCTCTTTGTCATCACTTTGTGTCCATTTCAAAGCTGATCATGCATGAGTTTTTTTGACACAAATGATCACTAGATCTGGTGTGAGCCATTCACACAATCTACGAAGTTAAAAAAGAATCTTTTTTGGCTCTCTCGTGCATTTAAATGGAGAAGAAAAGAAATTTCATATAACTTTGACTCGGTTTTATATTGTCTCTCTCGTACTCCGCGAGTTTTTAGCCTTTCTTTAGATACTGCTCTTGAAAATCTCATCACAACTAATCACACTTGCGACTTTTAGGGCTTGTATAGTATATTCGCTTTAGACCTTTTAGGGTTTTGTCTTTCCCGCCGAGCGTTTTCCCTGCCGCGGCGATCGGCCTTCTTTTTCTTCCGCCCATTCGATCAAGAAATGCGATCGCTCCCGAGGTTTCGATCTCAGGTATCGCATTTCTCATCTTGTCGATCGGGCTTCGAGCTTCTTCTCGCGAGCGAAGCCGCTGGTGGTGGCAATGGCGATGAAGATTGCCCTGCTGTACATCCTTGCGTCACGCTTCTTCATCGACCCTGTCATTGTAAGCTAGTCGATTCTATCCTTCCTCTTTTCTCATATTTTGTTCTTCGATTCAGGCGCTCGCGCTCCTTTCAAGAAATCAAAGGGACGCGTTGTGCACTATAGGGAGCACCTGTGAGTCTTTACCTCCTCTCGATCTAGCTGTGGATTACGACTCCGATCACTTTTGGGTCCCCTTGTCTTGGAACCCATGCAGCAACGAATGTGGAGGTGGAACACAGGTAATGAACTACACGCTCTCTCATCCTCTAGCTTGTTTTCTCTTGACTTCTTAACGTTTCTATTCTAGACGGCAGCGCTGGGTTGCTATGCTAGCAACATGACGAGAGTTTCTTCATCGATCTGTGAAGATCTACCGAAGTTAAATGTCGAACAGGTATGCATTGCTTGCTTCTTCTGCTGTACGTGAAATCTTCTACACTTTTTCTTCGTAGCCATGCAATGCCATCGAGTGTCCAAGCTATACGGTGTACAGATCACCATGGAGCGAGTGTAGCAGAACTTGTGGAACGGGATATCAGACCAGGTATGTGCTTGGTTTGACGAGGCTTCGTTTACGTACAGGTTTCTGCAGAGAAGTTCTTTGCCATGACAACCTTGGCTCGCTCGTTCATTCCCAGCATTGCGATCTAGAAGAAAGCTATGTAGAGTCACAGCTATGCAATACTGATGCTTGTGAAGCCAGCTACTGGACCCTTCCAGCTTGGAGCGCGTGCGATGCGCCGTGCGGTGGTGGAAGGCAGAAGAGAATTCCCACTTGTCATTCTACTCGAACAGAAGTATCCATATGCACTGGAGAGCGGCCAAAAACAGAACAAATGTGCAACACTCAGGTATATTGTGTAGAGAGTGACTTTGATTTCCTTTTCTTTCTTTTAAACAGGCTTGCAGCACGCATGCCTGGCTCGTCGGCCCATGGAAATCATGTCCTTACGAGTGCGAAGCTACCACAGACCGCCTTGTACAGGTTTTACAATTTTTTTTGTTTTTCTTTCGTGTGACACCTCCTTTCAGTGTGTCGACGGCTATGGATTTGAACAACCTGACTCTGAGTGCCCAGGGAGCAAGCCAGCAAGCACTATTTCATGTGATCAACCCCACATCAGTTGCAGCGACTGCCTGTACGATTGTTTTGGTCATGGTGTTTGTAAGGTATGTACTGCAGTATAACGTTTTCAATGTCTCGTGTCACTGGATCTTTCTGTTTGTTTCCAGCCTGATCAATGCTCTTGTTATGATGGCTGGACTGGCAAGTATTGCCAGACACCTAGCAATTGCCATGGTTTCTTGGGATATTCTGAACAAGCCAAAGCTCGATGTTGCCACTTGGTGGATGTCAATCAAAGATGCTGTAGCACCGCAGCTTCTCTAGACAAGGTAGGCACCTTATCTGGTGTGCGCTTTTAAAGTTTTTGTTGATATTTTATCTACCTTCTTACAAGGTTTCAGGATGGAAACTGCTGTGCAAGCGGTGTACTCGACAGTCTTGGTGTCTGTGACGGTGTTGCAACGTAAGTGCGTCAGAAGTTCTAGCTTCAACGGTTAATTCTCTCTGTGCCTGCAGGATGATAGATTTTGAAGGAAAGCCATGCTCTACGATTCGAGATGAGAAAGGACTCTGCTGTATTAGCGGAGTTTTAGATGAATGCCATATTTGCGATGGCGATGGTACAACCTGCTCAACGGATATGACCCTCTACTTGAACGTTACCGGATCCGCTCAAGCAATCCAGGAAGACGCATTTCAGAAGTTTCTTATCGCTACAATGAGCAGAGTGAGTTTTCCCGTCCTGTTTGTTTTCACAGGTAGTTGACATCACGTTTATTTTTGCAGTTGGCATCTAAGCTACGTATAGCCGATGAAGCTTTAACAGTAGCAGAAGTTCGAATGATCAGCTCAAAAGGTGAAACATGCGCCGTTGATGCACTACAGGACAGTCTTTGCTCGCAAGACGAGCAGATAAACGGCCTTGCAGTTGTCAATGCTACTGTTTTTCCTACCAGTGTAAGTTTCAATCTTCTTTTTACTACTGCTGTATATGTCGTACATTTTTACAGCCGGATATGGTGATCAAGAAAAGAAAAGATGTGCTCGCTGCACTTCAACCCGGTCCGTTATCTTCCTCCCTCACTGTTCTTCCTGAGGTAACGTCTCTCAGTTCTGCTTTGTTGGTAACTCCTTTTGCCTGCTTCCATTTTGCAGGCTTTGAGTGCGGATTTATTGTTTGTAGGGGACGTAAGAAGAGCCGGTGTTTGCGGCAATGGCTTGTGTGAAAGGGGTGAGAGATGTACCAGCGTCGGCGCAAGTGCTACCACTTTCAGAACGTCCTGCTGCCTTCAGGATTGTCCGTATGTGTCAGCTGTGTGTCCGGCTCCAATGGCTGGTCCGATGAAGAACAAAACTTGCTCCGGGAGGGGCATTTGCCTGGAGGCGTCTGGACAATGCGATTGTTTCCGAGGTATGTTTACTGGGATTTTCATGTCTTCATTCCTTGAAACGTCTTTGCTTTCTTCAGGCTATGCTGGATCCGATTGCTCCATATGTGCCTGGGGATGGATACAAACGCCGTCCGGTGCATGTGTTATGCTTCCGGATCCCCATTCTTTGTCGAAGCTGGTTGCAGCATACAAGGAGCAAAAACCGAAGCCTGCTCCAACTCATCGCCATCGGAAAGGCAATGACGCATCTGGAACGGTCATTCTCCTTGCCCTGTGCGGGGTTTGTCTAGCGCTGCTGCTGCTCCTGATTGTAGCCGAGCACCACCAGCAACGTAGGGTGGAAGTTCATCCGGAACCTGCGATTGATCCTCCAGGTACTTGTTTCACTTTCTTTCAGTCATGAGAAAGGCAAGTTTTTCTTTCTTCGCTGCTTACAGCCGACGGCGGAGAGCGAGCAGCTACAAAATGGAGATCATCGTATCTCGGACCACACTCGGAGTACGATGTCATTCCTATCACTCCAAGGCCTCCGACACAAACAATGGAAACAGTAGAGACACCACCCTCGCAAGTTTTGCCAGGTACCTTGTCAGCTTAGATGCATCATCTCCTTTCTCATGCTTTCTCTTGCCAGCAGGCGAGTCTTCGCGACGGTGGTCTTCTCGGAGATCGTTCTTTGGTGGAAAGGATGGAACCGGAGGCGGCAGCAGCAAGAGAAGCTTTCGCGACGGCTCTCCTTCGGAGCTGGAGCTCCAGTCGGGCCCAAACTTGGTCACCACGGGCGAGGATCTGACCGAGGAGGAGCAGGCCAAGATGAGCGAGCGAGTGAGGAAGGAGCTGCGAGGATCCAGAAGCGCCAAGTTCGTCACTGGCTATCTCACCGACTCGGAGGACTCGGACGGCGGCGACGAGCACAACACTCACTGCTGCACTCCAGACTCCCCCGCCATTGTTCGAACGTAATATATTCCAAGCATAAGGCAGGCATATTCTGTCACTAACAGGCATATTCACGAGCTATGGTGTGAATATTCTGTCACTAAAGTATATTCTGTCGGACAGAATTTTGGAGACTTCTCTGTTTCCTATTTCGCAGCCGTGTAACAAAACACTTGTCGTGAGAGTTCAAGCTCGAAGACTCAAGATCATGCTCACGATGAATCGCTTTAATAGAGATTTTTTTTTCCTTACGCACTTCTCAAGGGAGGCGATACCAAGATCACTCCATCGCCCCTCACAAACAAGTATGGAACCTGTCGCTTTGTCGTCTGGAAAGGCGGGAATGGTTATAGAGCGAGTATGGAGTCCTCCAAATCGAATAGCGTCTCTCTTACCTTGACAATCTCCTCGTAAGTCTCGTCGTCAATCTCCGTGGTGGTCACGACCTCCTCCACTTCTCCCAGGATCATGTTTAAATGCTGGTCATAGGCCTGGAAAACAAAGACCCACAACTCAGATGAGTCCCTTCCCGAAGTATAACTTTGATGGATGAAAATCTATGGAAACTTACATGTAGCTTGCCGCGGAGCTCTCTATCGGCGCGCAGCTTGACGTAGATCCGCTCGTCCAGGCTGAGCCGGATGAGATCAAGCGGCTCCTTGACAGCGCCGTCCTCTTCACTGGCCATTTCCCCCTGAGAGCTTTAGGGCTACTACTCTAGAATATTCACGGAATAATCATCCCGTACCACGTACGGCGAGACACTTCATACGCTCTGTAACTTCACAAAGAAAATCTCACGGCTCCGTTGTTCTATCAATGTCGGCCGAGTACGTGTCGATCAGCACCTCCCTCTCGTTTGGAACAGTCTCGACCACGGTGGTGGGCTTGGATTGCACGTCCTCGGATTTCACAGCCTCTTCCTGCTGCTGCTCGGCGTCTGGATTCGAGGCGCGCTCGCTGCTGCTCTCGCCGGGGTTTGCCTCGTGATGACGATTCTCTTCTGGAGCAGCAGCCTCTAGTCCAGCATCGCCATTCTCTTGAGGCCTGGATGGAGCAACGCAAACGAGTTAAGAAGACAACTTTAGAACGAAGAGCTCTGGTACCTTGCGTGAGAGAACCCTTCGCTGATCATCTTCTCTTTGCTGACCTTCTGCTCGCCAGCGGCGGCGGCGGAGGCAGCGGCGGCCGCATCACTCGCGGCGGCTCCTTGGCGGATTCTGGCCGCCTCCATAAGCAGCATTTGCTCCCTCGCCTTTGCAAGCTCTTTCTGCCACCTCTGCGCCTCCACAAGAGCCTCGTCTCGCTCTCTCATCACAGCGGCGTACCGTTCTTCTCCTGCCTTGAGCTTTAGCCACACCGGACGTTACGATCTTGTGAGTTCCAGCAGAAGAAAAGGAGTACCTGAAGCCGTGCAACTTTTGTTCGATCGTCGAGCTCCTTGAGAGCGCGGTCTGCTTCTGCTCTCGCTGCTTTTCTTTCTTTGTCCATGGCGTGCGCAGCTCGAGCCGCAGCCTCGGCAGCATCGGCTGTTTCGGACAGACGATCCGCGAGCTCCTTGATCGTCACATCCCGTGTTCTCAGTTCTCTGGATAGCTGATGGAGCTCTTCATCCTTGACTCTCAAAGTTTCCTGGAAGAAATACACGAGATTTGTAGAAAGCAAAATGGAGATCATCACTACACGCACCTTCATAATGGAAACATTGTCCATACCACCGTCACCACTGGCGGTCTGCGATGATTTCCCACTGAGGGTAGCCTTGATGGACGTTTGCATTTCCGAGGCAATGTCTTTCGCCGCTTCCTTAGCGACTGTGTTTGCTGCTGTGACAACAGCAGCTACTGTTCCTAGCTTTGCCGCACCATTTCCACTCAGCGAGTTGACAGCCTCTTTGTGAGCTTTCAACACCAAAGATGATGCCCTGTCCATGCATTACTGTCACAATGGTAGAGTGGAAAGACGATATTGGCTTACCTCAAGGTGGCCACCCAAGCTCTTGCAACAGCCTGACTCTCAGCACAGAGATAGTATTCCTTCTTATGTGGTGTACCAATATCTGATCACTAGTTCAGGCCAAGAAAGCTAAAGAATTCTATAGTCGTGAAAAGGATACAAAAGCAGCAACCATCGTACTTCTTCGCACCGCTGAAGAACAAGAAGAAAAATATCAAAATGAGAAGAAGAACCAACAGAACAATGTTTTGGAAAGACAAAGCTTACTGAAAGTTTATAGGAGACAAAGTGATGGTACTATCAGCATCGAAGTAAATTTGTCCTCGTGACGACAGATCTCCTCGATCCAGCCTGAAAAATCTCCACTTTAGCAAAGAATTGCAACAAAAATCGCAAAGTACCTGTACTCCATCTTTCCTGTTGCTGGATCCAATGTGAACCATCGTTGGTTCCACTTACGCAACTGGAATAACAAAACTTTAGTGATCCTTTTTGTCTCTCACAGCGCGAATCCAATCCACTCGGCTCTTACTGTCTCGGAGCGCTTGAAAAGTGGCCCTTGCAGAGCGGAATTCCCAGAGCCAGCGCTCAATTGCTTCTTGATCTTCTCCAAGCTAGATTTCGAGTCGGCAGCTGATAGCTGCCGCTGCTGATCGTCTCCTCCCAGCTGGAACACACAGATCGCATGAAATTCCTAAGAATGCTGGCCAGAAACACTACCGATTCCATCAGCCTCGCATCCCGCAGGGCAACATCGGGCAGAAGATCCATCCAACCCTCGAAGAACCCTAAAACCTGACGTGGAAATTAAAGAGTGACGTGGCGACTAACTATTGGCGAAAGGTTGGATAAAGTAAAAAATGACAGAATAGTTATCTTTCCCTGTAAATTTTTTCCAGAAACTATTGCACAAAATTGTCGATCATATGCTGAATCACATCAGCTCCACGAGAGTGTAAGCCGGTAGATTTTACCTGCGAAACTTCTCTCTTTTAGAACAAGACGAAATAGAAGAGCAAAAAATTGGATTTTTTTCGCTACCTGAATGGTGCTGTGTGCAAAGAAACGTTGTAGTGTTCCATGGAAACTTACATCCACTCTCTCCCATTTGATCTTCGTGAGGCCTCTTATCATCTCCTCTGGAAGAAGAAGAAGATCCAATGCTTTTGATGTTCCTCAAACTTAACGTATATCCATACCTTCAAGAGGATCAGCCGCAGGAGGAATGACCACCTCTGCGACGGGCGATCTTAAGTTGCGCTCCTCATTGTCTGGAATGATTTCCTCAACCGAGACAATGTGTGGATATCTGGGATCGATTGGAGTAGTGGTTACCTGAAACCAAAGAGTTTCATGTTACAGTTTTACGATTGTGAATTGCAATGCATCCCACCTTTGGAAGCTCTGATTCCCTTCGAAGAGATGATGTGCGCCAGCCAACCATGTCTAGACGTGAAATCAAGGATCACATAGCTGAAAAAAGAAGAAACTAGAGTCTCGCATTCAAGACACACAAAAGGATACGATCGTTTTGAACGTTTGTGTAGGCTACGTGACGCTTGAACAGCTGCAAAGCGGATCTACATGAACAGACACACAAGTATTTAAGAAAACGACACAAAGGATACAGGTACATACTTACAAAAACATCCCATCCTCGCAATCTGTCACCATTCGACACAGGAGAGGCGGATGATTGGGCTTGCCATCCGTCAGAAAAAGGTGCCGACCCGTTCGTCCCACAAACCAATGCGCGATGCACACGGCTGCGCTTTCCAAACATCGGAAACCACAGAGAATAGGAAGCTGCAAACAAAAAACAAAGAGAGTAAATGCTAAAGGTGACCGCAAAGGAGTAGAAAGTGAAAAGGGCGCAAGCAAACCTGGCCATTTCCTCTCGAGCCAAGATGAGGAGTAGCAACAGTGATGAAATTCACAGCTTGCAAACCAGCAATGGTTCCACGAACAGGAAGTTTTTCCTCCTCTCCTTTAGCATTCTCCTCTGGTTTAGGATCCACGTCTTTCAGCCCCGGGTCTCCTGGTCTGTAGAGCTGCGCTATGGCATATCGAGCGACAAGACCACCCAGCGAGTGAGCAACGAACGATATCTTCTGGACTCCACGAGTTTCGTTAATCGTTCGCTGGACCTGGAGTTTTCGAGAGATCTCTATCAAGAACAAGGAAAAGTCGAGCTTCTGATGAAAGTGAGATCCAAACCTCTTCTGCAAGACGTTTCCCCATCACGTCGACGCCATCAAACGTAGAAATCGCCGCGTTGCATGAACTACCTACAGTTAGAAAAAGGTTAAAGAAGAGACTTTAAAGGGGAGAAGCTTGCAAAAAAAGAGAACTTACAATAGATGAAGACTCGTTCTCCCAATTTCTCCTTGAATTTCTTGGCAGCAAACTTCCAATCGTCCGCACTGCAACCTTACAAGAAAATCCATCACGACTAAGAACCGGATCAACAATAAAAATCCTAGCACAAGATATTTCGCAAGAAAGAATTGGCTGGATCATCACCTCCCGACGATCCCATTCACCATCACGAGCAAATGCTCCCAGCTCCTGGGCTCCTCCCGCTCCTTATCCGTGATTACCTCCGCCATCTCGCGCGCATTCTCCTTCCTGCTCGCGATCCGCCGCGCCCTGGACGACGATTTCTCCCGCGACGGCGAAGAAATCTGCTGCGATCGAGCGCAAGGCAAGCATCCGCTGCCGCCGCGTTGCTTGATCGGCGACGTGGGCGCCACAGCTCCAGCATCCCTGTCCGCCATCACGACAGCGCGCCAAGCTCCACCCCCATTTTCCAATCGCAAGAACTAATCTAGGTCGCGCTTCCGTATTGTCACGAGCAATCTTGACACGTAGGCCACCACGTGTACCAATCTCCTTTAGACAAACGTAAAAAAGCATTGACCTAAAAGGTGACGCGTGAAAAGTAAATATATTAACTCAAACTAATTAAACTATTTTCAGTATTAATCAAATTTAAGTAAATGAAACAGCTTGAAGTAAGTTTAATACGAATTAAACATAATTAAACTAAATAACCCAGAAGAAGGCTTTCTCTTATCGTGCCTCCACGACGAGATGATCCCACGGTAGCGTTTCGCGAACCAAGACGTCTCTCACTGTAACTGGCGGCTCCTCCGGTGGACGATCGTCACTGTACTCGAGCTTATCACATCCAGCCTCGGTGCAAGCCGCCGGAGTTTCTTCCTTGCTCAACTCGTGCCTCCGGCTCTCCGGTGGCAATGGCGAGGGCCTTCGTCTCGGCGACGCTGGAGCTGGCGGCTCTGGAGCTCGGGGCTTGACTGGAACTTCTCCGAATGGTTCCAGCTTCTGCCAGTTTAGAATGTTGTAGTTCTTGGCGCCGGAGGCTCGGCGGCCGAGGTACTGCTTTCGCAAGTTCGCCCTCCACCTGAGGAGCTCAAGTTCTTTAGAGAAAACTCATGATCTTTGGAGGAAACTTGAGATCAAGGATCGTACTTCTGGCAGTCGTCCTCGTATCTTAGTTGCTCCCCTCCAAAGCTGTTGTGGTACTCGAGCGTGAAGATATCGTAGGCGGATCCACCTTTGTTGGCACGAACTCTTGCGTGAGGCTGCTCTTTGAAGAACTCGACGCGATCCTGGTCTTTCTGCCAGTCTTCTTCACACTTGTTGCGTACTTTCTGCCTCTGGTACTCTCGCTCCGCCCCGAGTCTGTCTACGATTGCCTGCAAACAATGGTTTTGGATCGAATCGAGGTTTCTAAGTTGGAAGTCGAGGATGAGAAAGCTTACGGCTTCTTTGATTCTGTTCAAGCGCTGCTGCTCTTTCAAGTGGCCAGCGGCGTCGGTGTTGTGACGCTCCTCGTCTGAGGCATACGCGGCGCAGTCGCGTGGAGGCTGCGTCAAGCTGAGATTGGTGTAAGGCTTGTGGTGTCTCGTGAATCCAAAAACACGGCTCGCAAGCCTTCGTTTTTGCATGGCATCCTGTTCCAGCAAACAAGAAGAACGATTGAGAACATAAAAAAGAAAGCCAAGGCAAAAGCAAGAACAACGACATTGAGAAGGAAATTTTTTACGAAGTAGAAACAGCAAGGAAGAAGACGTCCAGATCTCTAACAAAACTCTCTAGATGAACAAGCGAAAGAAAAGAAGAGAAAATCGGGTAAACACGACACACAAAGAAGAGTTGAGCTCACACTGAAGAAAGAACTAAAGATCTTCAAGGAAAACTTACGTGATCACTGCCATTGTAGCTCTCAAAGTGGCATTTCTGGGGGGCCTTTTGGACGAGATGCGAGTAGGCGAGCTTCCGGGGTCCCTTGGGAGGGATTGGCCCGAAAGAAGCCATTGGAAAGCCTAGAACAAAGAGAAAATCACGGCATTGCCATCGTGGTTGAGCTAAACTATGATCGATCACAGTACGTACCCAGTAGTATAGGTGAAGTGACATCGCAAGCACCGCCATATCTTCTCGCGCCTCCTCGCGCTCTACTTCCCCTAAAATCCCCTAAACTCTAGGGCAAGGTTCGAATCCCATAAGGCGCCAAGCACAATTGAGGATATTCTCTACTAGTTGAAATCCAACGGTCTGGATTGATGGCCAGCGATGAGTGTGGAGGACTTGGCATCTCGTCTTAGGAACGAGAGGAATATCTCTGAGGTTAGGAAGGTCCATTCTTTGATCAGAAAAAACGAGAAACACGGTAAAAATATCTACCTCGCGAATTTACTCTTACAAATGTATGGTAAATGCGGGAGCTTGGGAGATGCCAAGGAGGTCTTTAGAGAGATTGAGCATCCAAATTCTTACAGTTGGAATCTTTTTATCGCTGCTTACCTACATGCCAATGATTTAAAAGGAGCTAAATATTCCTTTGATAAGATGCCTGAGAGGGACGTGGTAACATGGACTACCTTGATCCAGGCATATTCCAAAGCTGGGCATCTGCAGCAGGCAAAGATTCTCTATGAAAAGATGCCGGAATGGAATCTGGTGTGCTCGACGGCCATGGTCCAAGCGTACGGAAGCGCTGGTCACGTCAACGAGGCAAGAGAAATCTTTGACTGTATGAAAGAGAGGGACACAGTGGCATGGAACGCGATTCTTTTGGCCTATTCTCAGAGCGGGGACGTGCCAACGGCCAAGATGATCTTCGATCGCATGCCCCGGTGGGACATTCCGGCATGGAATACCATGATCCAGATGTACGGGCGACACTCTTCCGGGGAATTGGCGACGAGATTGTTTGACCAGATGCCGTTGAGGAGCCTTCACACGTGGACGGTCGTGATACGTGCCTGTGTAGAGAGCGGGCTTACAAAAGAGGCGACGAGATTGTTTGATCGCGTTCCGGAATGGAATGTGGTGCTGGCAACGGTGGCGATGCAAATGTATTCCGGAATGAGCGACCTCGTTGGCGTAAGGAGAACGTTTATTGGATCGCTTGAGCGCGACATTGTTGCTTGGAACACACTAATCTCAGCTTTAGTTTTTAATGGGCATTGCCAGGAAGCTCTCGAATTCTTTCCAAAGATGCCAGAATGGAGCATTGTTTCGTGGAATCTAAGATTGAATTGCTACGCTCAGGTCTACGGCGTGGATCAAGCCAAGAGGATATTTGACGCAATGCCCGCCCAGGATATTACGTCGTGGAATCTCATGGCAACGGCCTACGCACGCACGATGCAGCTGGATCGAGCGGTCGAGATCTTGAAGAAAATTCCGGCTCGCAATATGGCGTCATGGAATCTAACGGTGGCGGCGCACGCGGGGAAAGGAGACTTCTATTCCGCGGTGGAATGTTTCTCTTCCATGCCGGAATGGGATCTGGTGTCGCTCAACACGATGATCGCAATCCATGCGCAGAAGCTGGATCTCCAGAGCGCGAGAGATCTGTTTGATTGCATGCCCAAGCGGGATCTCGTGACATGGAACACGATGATCCACGCGAATGCGGTGGCAAATCGCATGGAAGACGCCCAATTCCTCTTCGATTTTATGCCGGAGCGCGACGCCTCGTCGTGGAACATCATGATCGGCGGCTACGCGGCGGTGTTCCAGATCGAGATCTGCCAGGAGCTGTTCAACGCCATGCCGGATCGAAGCCCTCTTTCCTGGAGCAAGATGATCGCCGCGCTCGCCCAAAATGGAGAGATTCCGTCGCGAGTGGAGAGGATGCTGGAGACGATGGAGACGCCCTGGGCATCCGGGAATTCCATCGAGATTATGGCTATCCATGGGGTTCTTCCCCATGGCGCCGCGATGCTCAGCGTCTTGAAATCCTGTGCCCACTCAGGATCCCTCCCCGGCGCCTGGAAGAGATTCCTATCCATGGCTGCGGATCGCGATATCCCGCCGTCAAGGGAGCACTACTGCGCGATGATCCACATTCTAGCATCGGCCGGGCAGCTCGACGAGGCCCATCGATTGATCAACTCCATGCCCTATTCCTCCGACTATGAATCACTCGCCGCGATGCTTGGCGCCTGTAAGCTACATCAGGATGTGGGCCGCGGCATGGAGATCGCGGACCAGATCCTCGATTCCGAGGAGATCTCGATGAAAAGCAGCGGCGCGTGCTTGACGATGGTAAACAATCTGCTTCTCTCCCAAGAACCCTAAAATCGTTTGGCACCAAATTTCAAACTCTCTTGCCACGTGGAAGTTAATGTTCTACCATGCCGCAGAGATCTCAACTCTCTTCATCACCAAAGAATCACAGGCGATACAAAAACTGGGAAAGGAATCATTAGTAAGAAAGAGAGCCATAACTTAAAGGAGTTGTTCAACTTTCTAGGCCACCAGATGTAGCCATGGCAGCAAGGGGGAACTGTTATATTTCTTTAACCACATCTTAGTGAATAATTATGTTAGGAAGTGGTTTATTGTCTGAGGCTAGAGAAGAAAACATTGTGACATATGTCACCTGTAAAGTGTTGACATTCAACCTTTTGCAATGGAAACTTTTTGAAATCCAAAGGGTAAATTCTAGGGTTTAATGGAGAGTTGTGGATGGCCAATGTAAATTAGGTTTTCCCCTGCTTCCAGGAAATCTTGCTAGTTCAACTGTAAGTTCTTTTGCCATTTCTTTAGGCTACTCTTTCTTCGTGCATTTACTGAGGAACGAATGCTCGAAGAGTATGTCTTGAATTCTTCTGTTATTGGGGCTTATAACACTGACTAAGCTGCTATACCTCGATAGTACAGGGTTTTGCCACAGGGAAGACACGTAGGGAATGCCAAACGAACAACAAGATGGCACTATACTTCAGAGTGTTGAGAAGATGAGTTCAGTGCAGTGGATGGATTCACAGATGGATTTGTTTAATATTGCAGAGGCCCTGCACAAGAAATGACTTGAAATGATCAACAGCAGAGCTGTAGATGATATTAGTGACTCACTGGATGCCAAGAACTGAGAATTTACTCCAACAAGAGTTTGAAAACTTGAAGCATGTACTGCCAGAATAGGGGAAGGTGCAGGTGCTTTTGTTTTTGACAAAGATCGTGGTCTCTTACTGAGTGGGGAAAGCACCTTCAGTATGGCATAATCACCATATGCAGCAAGTGGTGGTGTTCTTCACACAAAAGAAATACTTTGCAGTTGTTATGGATACAATGGAGATGGGACAAGGACCAGTCAAGGAAAGCTAATATCCTGGATTTGTGGCTTTTAAGGCCTATTAATCAAGTGGTGAATATTTACCTTATATGAGGATGAACCCAACGTACTGCAAGAACTCCATTCCTATCATACCATGATGTGACATTTTTTCAAGTTTACAGACGATCCATGATAGAAGTGCCCAAAAGCTGCTTGATGTGTTGACTAGCATTGACACCTCCCAAAAGCTGCCTGATGTATTGACTGGCATTGACACCTGGTCAACACATTTATTTAAATATTGACCAGTCAACACAGCATGTTTAAATTTGTTGAAGGAATTTGATAGTTTTTGCTGAGGAAATACATGCTAAGTGGAGACACCCAGTTAATTGATTCTAATTTAATAGTTTAACCTATTTTGGACCATTAAATTAGTTTATAAGCATTTCTTTCGTATTTTTCCTTACTTTCTTAAAATTAAAATTAGATATTATAAAATATTACTTAGGGTATTCAAAGCTGTTAGCAATGCTATATGAGAAATAAACTCTCTAAGATATCATTAGTTAAAAGATCCCAAAATCACGATGAAATCGATAAAGAGTTTGAACTGAGCTAGGATTGGATATATTTAGGACTCAATATATCTAGGGTTGGCCTGATATATCTAAAGCCTAATATCTTAAAATCTTAACTCGATCTGAAATTTTTATAGTTTCATTCAGAATCCTTTAGCTTATGATATCTTTAAGAGTTTATTTTTACACGAAATTGTATATATAAACTATATTTATATATATTTTATATAAGCCACAAAAATTATTATGCTAATTTTAAAATAGTTTATTAAATATAATATAGTTATTTATTTGTTACAATAGTTATGATACATGTATATAGTTTATGATATAGTTTTTAAGAAATAAAATAATAACATCTTTGACACCCTTTGTCACGTGTCTATTATATAAAAAATTATGCTGATAAAAAAGGAAATTATTTTTAATTAATAATACAATTAGAAATTTAGCACTTAAATAAAATTAAGTAGAAAGACCTTGAACTACTAAAATATATTGGCTCAACATAGTTAGATGTTAAGAATTTAAAATTTTATAATTGAAAATCTTTGAACTTTAATAAAGATATCTGAACAATTCTTTAAGATATATATTTAACCCATATGAAACCCACATACAAATGAGTTTTTTTCTAGATAACCATTCTAAAGGGCATATACAGAGACCAAAGAACCCCAAGATTAAGAATCTATACAAGTCATTCTAGAAAAGATTTCTAGAGCTTGTGATAACAAGCCGTTGCTACCAAAACTAACAAGCATTATATTGCAAGAGATTAGATTTATCGAACGCATCAAAGCAAACATCACTACTGCCTGCTCCATATGCCCATTCTGGAGACTATGAAAAAAGTCCATGTCAGATCGTTTCTATCGGGGGAGTGATCGAACAAAGCTTGGGCAGTGACTTGTGAGTGGCCATTTATCACAGCGTTCCACGACACGGCACTCTTCTCGGGGATGGAATGGAACGCTCGCATTGCGTGGTCGGGGCAAATCCGGAGACGATAGTAGTGAAGGAGAAGATGCTCCACCATGGCATTCTCTTGAAACTCTCCCTCGAATCGCCCATGAGCTCTTGCTGGGAGGAATCCCATGAAATTCCACAAGACAATGTGTGGAGTCCTTGCAGAAGAAGAAGGCCGTGCAGGCCTCGAATTGCGCTGCCTCGGAGGATGTTGGAGGAGAAGACATTGGGGTCTGGATTCGCGGCGTAGGCGGCCTCGGCATTGCCCAAGCTCCCACATTTGCCATAAATGTAAGCGATCATGTTGGTGAGGTATCGATTCGGCCAGTAGCAGGAGCCACGCGTGGATCCTCCAAATCTCTGGCCTCCGCTGGATGTCGTCCACGTGGACAGTCAGATGGACTCCAAATCTTCCTTTCCTCCAAATCCAATGAGGTGCTGAAACTATATTTTAATATCTGTTAGTGTTTAGTTATAGCATGCATGCTGTATTGTTCTATGGTCTTAGGATTGGCCTTAGAAAACTATTATTATTTCATTTTTTTAATTTTTAATTTTTCAAATATTTTATTATTGTCTGGAGAAGAGAGGAGCTTATTGAGAGTTGGGCGTGACATTACACCGTAGGAATCTAAAAGTGTAACTTGCAGTGTACATGTTTAAAAAATTATAGTGAGCTATATCTATACTAGTATTTGCCCAGCCAATGCTGGGTAGTTGGCAAAGCCTCTCAAACTTACTAACATATCTTTGTGAGAATTTGCTCACATCTCACAATTTCCTTGTGAAATGATTCCTTTATTTTTAGCACCAGTCTATTGTTATCCATTGGGCCATAGGGAAGATTAAAAAACAAACAAAGTTCGATACTTCGATATATTAATCCATATGCACAAGCTTTTAGAATGATGTATGTAACTGCTTATAGAGATATAAATCAGTCTTGATTGCATCTTATGCATCCACAGATTTTAGGGACAACTCACAACCAAGAAGTTGATAATCGGCCTCTTCCTGCTACATTGCCATCTATCCAAGATGACATGTAACTGATTCGGGTCAGGCTTGATACTAAACTGCACTCCCAGGAATTCTTTGATGGTCGGGAACAGCAACCCCTGTATGGCAAACAGGAAAGTTTGTGAGATCGACTTCTTTCCTTTCCAGCTTCACAGATAGATACCTGGTGAGTTGAATCTACAACTCCTCCCACCTTTTATCTCCTGTAGCAAGGACATGGCTGCTTGCGTCCCCAGGTCCTCTGGAAGCTGGAGCTCGGATGCTCCAGAATGCATAGTCACGCACTCGGAGCTTAAAATGCAGCTGGTGGTCGTTTCTGCCACCAATGAGATCCCATAGCCCAGAGATTTGTGCCATGACAAAGGAAGCAAGATGAAAAAAGTTTACCTTGCAGCACAAAATCATGGAACTTACTTCCCGGAATCCGAACCAGTAGAGCGATCAGTAAAGATGTACACGTCGGGGAGCAAGCGCTTTAGCACACCACATTCGATTGGCCATATGAGGTGAGACGGGTGTGGAGTAACTCACTCCTCGGATACGTTTCACCATGCCCTCGTCCACCCATGTAGCAGCCTGGCGAAGGATTCTTAGCGAGGAGAGAAAGAAAAGAAGAGGAGTTTGGAGAAACTGACCGTGAGGCTCTTGGGGACAATGGGAACTTTGAGGACGGCCTCACTGCCACCCAAGGGAGGAGCTCCGCGGGCAACAACCTTGAGTTCTAGGCCTTTGACTGGAACCAGCGCAGTAGACATGATCAAGCTCGAATCCCAGCCAGCAGCAACCATTTGGGAGTGGATTTGCTTACCCACCGGAGGAAATCGCGATCCACAGCACGCTCCAAGGGCCGCGACCCACTTGATCCTGCCCGGAGTGACGCCCTGGAGCAGCAATCTCCGGTCAACACTTTGCATGTGCCACGTGTTGCCGGGCCTTCCTCTCCCGCCCCACGCGGCTTGGCCACCTCCCATTGGCCGGGAGCAAACATCAGCGCGATTATTCTCGAACACGTGGTTAAAGAAATAACCCCTTTACAGTTACCCCCCATCGGACGGCCCCGATTGGCTGGATCCGGCAGCCCACAAAGTTCGGCGTTTGCTCCTTATAGTAGTAGATGCATATCTATATGCAGCCAGAAGAAAAAAAGAAAAGTCCCTTGTAAATTATTAACTTAGGTGCATCTCCACTGTAGTCATGCAATCAAATTTTGTGGAAGGGAAGATATATATTTGATTTGCTCCAGCACACAAACAGCACAAACATGCCATTGAGCTTACCAATTCGATCATATATACCAAATTCTCATCAGTTGTCACTTTAGCATAATCAAACAATCACACACAATGTTGTGCCATTTAATTCTCGATGACCCTGCCAGCATATGCAAGCCTTCCTCACCATTCGAACAAGAAAGACGCTAGACAACAAGCTAGAAATAGTTTTAACGCAGTTTATATTAGTGGTAACTACATCACAGCCGTTGGATTAAAGGATATTTTAGAATATACCATCCAAACCGTTAGATTTTAGTGCGGTTAGGTTTTCGGGTGGCTATGGATTCCGGGGGCGAGGTGAGAGAGACTCGGGTATTCGTCTTCCTCTGTGCAGCGGAAAGCTGCCATTTGAATCCCTCGGAGCTCTCCATCCGGTTGCACCGAGACGAAGGCGACGTTTTCCATCCCCTCTCTCTCAACTACACAACGGGCCTGTCGTGCCGGACTTGGGACGAGCTGGTCCAGGAGCTCAACTGCGTCTATTCTGACACAATTGCTTCGCTCCCCGACGCATCCCTTCCCGACGCCAAGACGCAGCAAAATCATCCAAGGCATCCAGCCGCCCAAGGACGAAAGGGAGCCGGCTTGGATGTCGAAGCTGTCCGAGATTTGCAGAGGTAGGATCGACGTGGACTTGCTTTTGTGCTCGCCTTTCGCTACCATCTGGACGTGAACGATCCAAACATCGTCTCCATCGACAAGGAGCAAGATTGCCAGGACCTGATCACGCAAGAAGAAGAAGAGCTCTACATTGATCGTCACCTCCCTCGAGCTCAAGCTGACGAGATTGTGTGCGAGATCTCTCAAGTTTTGCCACAGTCGTACCAGTGGCTGGGTCTGGAGGAGATGGACAGCAAAGAGGAGGTTTTCCGCGTGATCAACTGGGACATGGAGGTGAGGAGCAAAAGCTCGGCCGTTCTTGCGCATGGAAGCGACGCTGTTCTTGGGATCGAAGTCGTCAGTGGGCTGAGCCGGCAGGGATTGAACAGATGCGAGATGGAATTCTACCTGTGGGCGCGTTTTTGCAGCTGGTGACTGATTTCAAGAGTGCCGCTGTCTTTTACTATTGGTTTCCGCGGACAGGATCCATCGGCACCTTGAGGAAGCTCGTGAAGTTGATCGCGTTGAGATTACCCAATTGTCCAGAGTCTGAAATGGCTTGGTCGATTCTGGGCTGGAAACGCTTCGTGGATCCTCCTCCAAACCTCTGGCCTCCAGCTCCTGGATGTCGTCCATGTGGATTCCAAATCTTCCTTTGCATTCCAAATCTAATGAGAGGTGCTGAAATGATATTTTGTTATTTCCCAGTGTTCATGGCTTCGTGGTTATAGCGTGCACGCTGCAATGTTCTATTGTGTAGGGTTGCTGGGTTCGATTCCCATCTGCCTCAACTTCCAATTAAGAACACTACGGTCTTAGGGTCGCCCCCTAACGTGATTACTATTTTATTATTTTATTATTAGATTAACTGCGTTGAGTTTCTGGGTGTTAAGTACCATTTTATTATTTTCATTTTTTTTAACACTATACAATTTACTAGTGAGAGTGGCTCTCCTCAAAATCTCAACAAAGCAAGCAAACCATACATAGCCTAATAGTATGTTGTCAAGTCCAAAATGAAAGTCAATAGGAAAAGGTTATTCATCCACAATTTGTATATATTAGCAATTATTGTTATTGTAAATATTGTTCTTTCTATATATAAAATTGGGCATTAGCGCAGAACTCAAGTGAAAACCTAATACTCAATGACAAGATCATTACTACTCAACCACTTCCACTTGTGAAGACCACTTGAACATCCCTTTTTCCAATTGGAGCTTCCTCCTAGTGTGAGTGATGGGAGAATCCACCAAATGGAAAGGACCATTTACCTGGATGGGCTTCAAGAGACCCTCCCTTGCTTGCCTCATGTCATCTACCAATTTGTATGACTTTGGACAAACGAATCTCAATACCTTCAATGTCACACCTTCAGCTACATGCGTACGTTGAAACAAATCAGAATTGCTCCACTCTTAATTGCCAAATCTACACAAGCATATGAAGAGCGAAGAAAAACAATGCTGGTACTGAGCACAACTTTTGAGAACAATGTTTAGCTGGTGTGGCTCAACACCAGAGTCCTCTCCAGATGCTATAGCGCTTGCAAGATTTGCAAGTGTCACCTTCCTTTGCTAACTTTAGAGGTTAGACAAGAATCATGCACATGTCCTTTCTAGACACCCAAAATGCTGATGGCATTCTCGTCACAAGCAATGGTTCTGCACTTAACGCTATCCATCAAACCTTATTCACCTGAAACAATTTGAAGTGTATAATGAAAGATTGCACCTTTTATTTCAATTACAAAGCATGGGTCTGGTTTTTGGATTGCACGCCCTGCCACCAAGATCATAGATCTCCTTGAACCTCCTAAGTTTTATCCTTAAGCTTACCATCTGAAATTTCTGAATATTTATAATAAGGAGGAGTTGTCAAACTTTTTGGGCTGCCGGATTCAGCTAGTGGTAGCCGTCCAATAAGGGGATAATTATCTTTAACCACATCTTAGTGAATAATTGTTCTAATGTTTTCTTTCAGCCAATGGGAGGTGGCCAATTGCCTTGGCAAGAGAGGAAAGTGTTGTGACGCAAATGTGTTGACTAGCATTGAGGCTCAACTTTTTGTACTGGAAATTTATTGGGTCACTTGGATTTTATAATTCTTTCTAAGGAATTTGATAATTTTCTTTTAAGGAAACATATGCTTATAGCTATGTCCTCAATTTTTCTTTCAAAGTGGAATATAAAATTTGTTGTTTTGATGCTATTCCAATTTAATTTTCAATATAACTAATCAAAACAATGCTTAAGGGATATTTTATATTCAGTTTTTATTAATCAATACCTTGGAAGATTTTTTAGGTGCAATTTTACTTTATGGAGCATGATTAAGAGTAGACTCAAGCCAGAAGATGATATGGATAATAAAAAGGGACACCAAGAATAACAAAGTGTTAGAGATGAGGCCTCAAAAAGAAATATCAAAACTATTTACAATCTCCTGTCTAGTATGTTATTTTCTTGCAAGTGTTGCAACAATCATTCTTCTTTTCCTTTTGAACTTGTCCGATTTGCTACTCTCGCCCTGATCATTTGTTAGTCCTAGTCTCTTACACTATGACAAATCATTTCCCCTTTCCTGTGAAGGGTGCCAATTCTTTCTCATTCAAGCTTTTACTTGAGAAAACCCTCCAAAACTATAAGACCGGCTATGATTTGGCCAAAAGTGTTGTTAAAACTTAAATGATATAACTTTGCAAGTTGCATTGGTCCACTCCTATCTGTACATGCTTTATGAAGCAGTGTTTGAGAAGAACCAGAGAGTAGCCATGTCTAGCAAGAAGAAGCAGGCAATAGAGATGCAACAAGAAGAAGTGTTCAATTGAGATTTTGAATTAGGAGCTCAAATCTCGGCAAAGCTACTGGAAAGGCACAGAAAGCTACTCGGTTGGAAGAAGCTTCTCCTCCACTCTCTCGATCCTGAGAGTGTCTCAGACAACAACAACAAAGTGAGTCCTTGCCACTTCTGCCTCTGCCACTGCTTAGATGATCTTGAGCTTGAAATTGGTGTCACAAAGGTGAGCTGTGATTGGAGCTGAGGGCACTCTACCACATCACCGGCTACCAAGTTGAGTTTAAGATTCAAAAGAGCCAAGGAGATTAGACACTCAAGTCCACTCACTCTATCATCTGGATCTTGAATGCAAGCTATTTCAATCACAAGAGTGACTACGAGAAAAAGGTGAAGCTAATTGCAGATCTGGAGCACAAGTCATGAGCAAAAGTGTGCTTCCCACCTGACCAAGGTTTGTGAAAGCTTTCTCTTTCATACTTTACAGTTGGCTAGCTGCAAAAACCAACCGAAGAAGCACACACATCATATAATAGGTAACAGGAAGCAAAGAAAAGATTTGTTTTGAAGAGGAGCAGCTTGACAAGACAAGGAAGAGAGGTTGAAGGCAATTTACAAGAATGCTGGGTGAGCAAAACACCAACACTGGACAAGCTGGACATTTATGAAAGAAAAGAACTTAGTAGCAAAAGAGCTAGGAAGAAACATGGACGAAAGCTAGATATTTATGTAAATGAGGAGAAAAGACACTGCTCTAAGATAAAAGAATTACTTATTATCTAGAGAAGATAATTATAGATTGACTCAGTAGTGGTTCTCCAAGCTGGAGATCCACTGCTGAGTAAGCATGCCGTGGAGGTCGCCTTGGATGCGATTGGGAGCTGCGTGATCGAGAAGGTGATCAATATTTGGTTGCGGCATGAGGAATTTGAGAGCGTTGGCCCTGTCAGCTCCTCAAATTGGTCATGCGCTCTAGGTAACAAAAAATTCGCATTTTGGGGCAAATTGGGATCACTGTGGTGTTTGTCTAGATCATTGTTCTTGAGGATCAAGCCTTCATGGTTTGTGAAAACCTCCTCTCTCTTTCTCTCACTCGCATTAAAATCCCATCTTAAATCCAAAGCTCATAGTGACCCAACTGGAGATATGGCTGCCAAGTTGAGTGAAAGAACAAACAGAAATTGTCATTTAGAAAGTTTACTTTCACATTCATTTGATCAACAATCATATTGTAGTGAGCAATAAAGACTAAACTAATTGCATTTTAAAATTGGAGAAAATATCTTTGTGAAATTAATTAATGGCAATATTGCAAACTAAAGAAGCAATATAAATCTTCTTGTTTAAAGAATACTAACCTCTTCCCAAACAAGAGATCTCCAATGGGACTCTTACTAGAAACACATTCAGAAAAAGTGGTGTTAACCAGGAATTTTTTACTAAAACACTAAATGAATTGTTAATCTTAAACACCCTTCCACCATCTATTACTTGGGTCTTTTTATCTATTTATCTTCCTTTTTGAGACTTGGAAATGATACTTCTATATAATACTATTTGGACATTGTATACATAGAATTTTATTAGTGTAAATGAGATGTAAAGGCTTATATATGTATGTATGTATATAATATATATATACATATATATATATATACACACACATATAGAAGATGATAGAAGACATTCAGGATTCTCTCATGGATGGGCTGGGATCTGAAGGAACAACAGGAGGAAGCATCAATGATCTATAGGTGGTGTCAATTGTTCTTAATCCTTTTGTACAAAGTGTTTCAACTACTGCACATACATTATTTTTGGAGGATTAACCTATTGAACATCATGCTAGACCTCATAAACTTGTGGTCCAACTTGCAATAACACTTGATATAGTTCCTTTCACTGAGTAAAGAGTCCTAAAACTTAGCATTATTAGCTCTTGGCAAATACATAGATAAACTCAACTCCATTGGTAGGATTAAATTAAGACTATATGGAAGTTTATATAGTGAAGCACCAATAGAACTTTACACCACTGTGATATATGCATACTGAAGAAATGGCAAATAACTTGTGAGACACAAAATCTCTAAGCCCTAAAGTGGAGCCGAAAGGGTGCCACGTGGTAGTGGCCGAAGCGAAAGCCAAACGAGCGTAACATGTTTGGACTAAAAGCTCAAACTTGAAAAGGTCAAGAGTGGGAGTGGAACTCCCAATAAAGTGCTCGAGGAACAAGCATGAAGTGAGCAATGAGTGAGTCTCTAGAAAAGGGACACAAGAGGACCAAAACATGACACGTGGAAGAGTCCGAGATGGACCCGAAATGGAGTCCAAGATGGAGCCCGAGATGGAGTCTGAGATGGACCCGAGATGGAGTCCAAAGTCAAGATTGAGACCGAGACTGGGACCGAGACCGAGACCAAGACTGGAACCGAGACCGAGACCAAGGCCGAGGCCGAGACTAAGCCCAAGCTCGAGTCCGAGTTTGAGTTCAAGTCCGAGTCCGAGTCCGAGTCCGAGTCCAAGTTTGAGAGGGTGAAAGCCCAAAACATTCGTCTCCCAGACCCTAGGGGGTTTGGTGAGCTCCAAAAATATAGTAAGGGGGAGGACTACAGTGGAGCCAATTTGGCCAAGAAAGGCTAGTTTGGCCTAGGAAGGCTATACCCAGTGTTGGGTGATGAGCTGCCCACTGGGAAGTCCAAGACTAGAGTGAACACAGACCAACAAGCGGGGTAGCTTGGTGAAGTGTTCAAAAGCCGACTCTAATTCCCCCTGGAGATCAACTAGCCGATGCTCCCAGTCCAAGTGTGGGTAGCATTACTTACTTAGATACCTGGTGTGGCTCAACGAAACCTCGCTCTAAGCCCATGGCTAGAGCACCCAAAGGCAAAAGGCAGGGAGAGTACCCATGAGGCTCGCATAAAGCCACGGTGTTCCAAAATGTTGCCCTAAAGTCCCAAACTATGAAAAGGAAGAGGAGCCGTCCTCTAGTGTAGAGACCAAGGATACGGTCGTGTGAGGAAGAAGTCTCAGAGGACCGTGGGACTTAGTGGTCGAGCTTGTGGGCCTTGATCCAGTGGTAGTGTTGGCGAACACGGCCATGGATAGAAAGGGACTTGATGGGGACTGAAAAAGGGGTATTGGGGAAAGTTATGTTTGTGGGCATTTTAAGGATGCTAAGGAGTGGATTTGGGATGATCACTCATGGACGGTTGGCTCAATCCTTGAAAGATGAGACTGTGATGTAGATGGTGTTAGACCACTAGTGTGACCAAGGTGAAGGGGCATGGCCTTAGCGTAACAAGGTGATATATCGATGGTACCTTGGGGTGTCGGTCACGGGATTGGACACATGGAGCACTTGGACCAAGTGCAATGGTTGAGTGGCATAGATGCCATTTTTGGGGCTAGCAAGTCCCTAAGTCCAGGTTAGGAAAGGCAAAATACTTTGACCTAAGGTCAAGATACTACCAGATTAGGGTAGTAGAGGAAGATGTCGAGAAGACAATCAGTCAAACAAAGTATGGGAGATTCGAGTTTCTGGTGATACCTCAAAATGGTCAGAGGTATGGTTAAGTGACTAAAGTAGAATGGAAAATTTAATCGCTTACAATTTGGTATCGGAGCTATTCCTTAGTCCAACTTTTATTGGTGCTCAAGTATATCACTACTGGTGTTGGCATTAGAAGGTCCTAGGAGTGGGCCTATCCTTGAGGAGTAGTAGGTCGGGAAGACATGGCTCTCCACTACTATTCAGGTGTGAACTTGTAAGCGATGTGGTGGATAGAAAAGGGCCAATAATGGAACGACTTTGGGATTTTGGGAACAGTATAAGGTTTCCTTAGAGAGCTGAGGATGTGATCCAGATGAGCGTTTGACGCAGCAAACGGGCTAATGTAGTTGTAGTAAACAACTATAGTTGGGATCATGAAAAAGATGCAAAGTCCAAAACAATAAAGGAGTCACAAGATTACTTTCATATAGTTGAGGCTGGTACTCATAACTTTGAGACAGAAATTGATGACCATAGGAGGTCAAATATAGAAGAGGACACAAGTCCTTGAAATAATAGCCAGGGTTACCTCTAATAAATGCTGGAACAACCCAAGGAGTTGGGGGTGTACTCAGAGGAGGAGTTGGTATTCTCATCACATGGACAAGTGGTCCTAAGGGGCAAAAAGTTGCCCCAAGAGAACAAATTAAGTGTCGAAGTAACATTTGCAAAGATGGTTCTTGTGAGTAGGACTTGAATACAAGAAGTTGTATTCCAGAGTTGTATTCCAAAAAATTAAGCCTCAATGCTAATCAACACATTTACGTCACAACACTTTCCTCTCTTGCCAAGGCAATTGGCCACCTCCCATTGGCTAAAAGAAAACATTAGAATAATTATTCACTAAGATGTGGTTAAAGATGATTATCCCCCTATCTGACGGCCACCACTAGCTGAATCTGGCAGCCCAAAAAGTTTGGCAACTCTTCCTTATTATAAATATTCAGAAATTTCAGATGGTAAGCTTAAGGATAAAACTTAGGAGGTTCAAAGAGATCTATGATCTTGGTGGCAGGGCGTGCAATCCAAAATCCAGACCCATGCTTTGTAATTGGAATAAAAGGTGCAATCAAATTGTTTCAAATTCAAATTACTTCAAATTGTTTCAGGTGAATAAGGTTTGATGGATAGCGTTAAGTGCAGAACCATTGCTTGTGACGAGAATGCCATCAGCATTTTGGGTGTCTAGAAAGGACATGTGCATGATTCTTGTCTAACCTCTAAAGTTAGCAAAGGAAGGTGACACTTGCAAATCTTGCAAGCGCTGTAGCATCTGGAGAGGACTCTGGTGTTGAGCCACACCAGCTAAACATTGTTCTCAAAAGTTGCGCTCAGTACCAGCATTGTTTTTCTTCGCTCTTCATATGCTTGTGTAGATTTGGCAATTAAGAGTGGAGCAATTCTGATTTGTTTCAACGTACGTATGTAGCTGAAGGTGTGACATTGAAGGTATTGAGATTCGTTTGTCCAAAGTCATACAAATTGGTAGATGACATGAGGCAAGCAAGGGAGGGTCTCTTGAAGCCCATCCAGGTAAATGGTCCTTTCCATTTGGTGGATTCTCCCATCACTCACACTAGGAGGAAGCTCCAATTGGAAAAAGGGATGTTCAAGTGGTCTTCACAAGTGGAAGTGGTTGAGTAGTAATGATCTTGTCATTGAGTATTAGGTTTTCACTTGAGTTCTGCGCTAATGCCCAATTTTATATATAGAAAGAACAATATTTACAATAACAATAATTGCTAATATATACAAATTGTGGATGAATAACCTTTTCCTATTGACTTTCATTTTGGACTTGACAACATACTATTAGGCTATGTATGGTTTGCTTGCTTTGTTGAGATTTTGAGGAGAGCCACTCTCACTAGTAAATTGTATAGTGTTAAAAAAAATGAAAATAATAAAATGGTACTTAACACCCAGAAACTCAACGCAGTTAATCTAATAATAAAATAATAAAATAGTAATCACGTTAGGGGGCGACCCTAAGACCATAGTGTTCTTAATTGGAAGTTGAGGCGGATGGGAATCGAACCCAGCAACCCTACACAATAGAACATTGCAGCGTGCACGCTATAACCACGAAGCCATGAACACTGGGAAATAACAAAATATCATTTCAGCACCTCTCATTGGATTTGGAATGCAAAGGAAGATTTGGAATCCACATGGACGACATCCAGGAGCTGGAGGCCAGAGGTTTGGAGGAGGATCCACGAAGCGTTTCCAGCCCAGAATCGACCAAGCCATTTCAGACTCTGGACAATTGGGTAATCTCAACGCGATCAACTTCACGAGCTTCCTCAAGGTGCCGATGGATCCTGTCCGCGGAAACCAATAGTAAAAGACAGCGGCACTCTTGAAATCAGTCACCAGCTGCAAAAACGCGCCCACAGGTAGAATTCCATCTCGCATCTGTTCAATCCCTGCCGGCTCAGCCCACTGACGACTTCGATCCCAAGAACAGCGTCGCTTCCATGTGCAAGAACGGCCGAGCTTTTGCTCCTCACCTCCACGTCCCAGTTGATCACGCGGAAAACCTCCTCTTTGCTGTCCATCTCCTCCAGACCCAGCCACTGGTACGACTGTGGCAAAACTTGAGAGATCTCGCACACAATCTCGTCAGCTTGAGCTCGAGGGAGGTGACGATCAATGTAGAGCTCTTCTTCTTCTTGCGTGATCAGGTCCTGGCAATCTTGCTCCTTGTCGATGGAGACGATGTTTGGATCGTTCACGTCCAGATGGTAGCGAAAGGCGAGCACAAAAGCAAGTCCACGTCGATCCTACCTCTGCAAATCTCGGACAGCTTCGACATCCAAGCCGGCTCCCTTTCGTCCTTGGGCGGCTGGATGCCTTGGATGATTTTGCTGCGTCTTGGCGTCGGGAAGGGATGCGTCGGGGAGCGAAGCAATTGTGTCAGAATAGATGCAGTTGAGCTCCTGGACCAGCTCGTCCCAAGTCCGGCACGACAGGCCCGTTGTGTAGTTGAGAGAGAGGGGATGGAAAACGTCGCCTTCGTCTCGGTGCAACCGGATGGAGAGCTCCGAGGGATTCAAATGGCAGCTTTCCGCTGCACAGAGGAAGACGAATACCCGAGTCTCTCTCACCTCGCCCCCGGAATCCATAGCCACCCGAAAACCTAACCGCACTAAAATCTAACGGTTTGGATGGTATATTCTAAAATATCCTTTAATCCAACGGCTGTGATGTAGTTACCACTAATATAAACTGCGTTAAAACTATTTCTAGCTTGTTGTCTAGCGTCTTTCTTGTTCAAATGGTGAGGAAGGCTTGCATATGCTGGCAGGGTCATCGAGAATTAAATGGCACAACATTGTGTGTGATTGTTTGATTATGCTAAAGTGACAACTGATGAGAATTTGGTATATATGATCGAATTGGTAAGCTCAATGGCATGTTTGTGCTGTTTGTGTGCTGGAGCAAATCAAATATATATCTTCCCTTCCACAAAATTTGATTGCATGACTACAGTGGAGATGCACCTAAGTTAATACTTTTTAATGATCTGTTTGATCAATCTACAAGGGACTTTTCCTTTTTTCTTCTGGCTGCATATAGATATAGGTCACTATAATTTTTTAAACATGTACATTGCAAGTTACACTTTTAGATTGCTACAGTGTAATGTCATGCCCAGCTTTCAGTAAGCTCCTCTCTCTAGCTCACCAAGACATTTTGCACTCTTTCTCCAGCCACTAATAAAAAATAATAATAATAATAAAGGAAAATAATAAAATAGTGTTTATGTTCAGAGGGCATACTATTCCTACTTGAAAGGATGAGGCAGATTGGGAATCAAACCCAACAATCCTATACTATAGAACAATACATGCTATAACCACAAAGCCATGAACATTGGGAGATAATAAAATATAATTTTAGCACCTCTCACTGGATTTGAAATGCAAAAGAAGATTTTTAATTGTCTACATAGTATGTTCTAAATGTATGGTACTGATAGTAGTTTGAAGCACTAGCAGTTTGGAACCTACTAGGTTATATCACTCCTTATTCTGTTTTCAACTTAAGCCTAAACCTAAGTTCCATATTATTTTTAATGGTGGGGTACCCACCTCCTTACGTTAGGCCATTGGTATGCCAAAATTATGCTAGCTGCTGACATTATTTTTCATATAAGAGTTGAATACAAAGAGCTGGTGCCTGTAAGGGAAGTTGAGTGCATATTAAACTCTTGTTTTATAGCATAACAGGCTCAAAGTCTTATCTTGAGCTGTAAAAGAAAACAAGTTAATTTGCATTAAGTTCAGCAAGAGTTGCTTCCATGGTCTTTAGGACAAATGCCATGCCTAAAGAGAAGTAGAAGCTAGGAGTCATCATGCTCTTTTCTTCCTCTATATCAGAGTTAGCAAAATAAAAATTTGAATCATAAAAGGCTTTAGGAATTGGTGGTATTGTTTATCAATCTTTAGCAACCTTTGCTTCTTGTCGAGAAGCTCACTTAACTACTTATAGATCTAGTACTCTTTATATTGATGCTCAGCATCTATGAGTATGTGCTCAACCGAAACATCTCAAAATGCCATCACTAATTTCAACTTTAGTTCTACCAACAATGCGGTCATAACCTTAGTCTACTATTGAAGCCTTGTTTCCCACTAGCAAGTCTTTTGCTCTATAGGGCAAATCTTCACCTCCATTAGGATCACCTCTAGTGCCATCCATGCTCACTATATTATCCTCATTGCCACTTGGATTGTTTTAGTTGCTACCTCTATGCGGATCACTAGCTCCTTCTGTTATTCCATGTGCTCTAATTGAAAATTCATCTTTCTAGTTGTCCTTAGCTACTTCTATTAGAAAAAACTGTGGCAATGGCTAGAGATCTTTTGTTGTGTATGTCCAAAACTCATCAAAGATGATGTCCCTACTCATCATCATTTTCTGAGTCTCGAGGTTGAAGAGTTTATAGCCCTTCATTGTGTCTATATATCCAACAAGGACACACTTTTGGCTAGTGCTCAAGTTTATCTCTGTGCTTTTTCAGCACATGCACATAGCAAATGCTTCCAAAAACACATAGATGGCTCATATTTGGTTTTAAACCATACCACACTTCATATAAAGTCTTTTCTGATACAACTGTTTTAAGTTGGCAATTACACAAGTGAGCTGCTATTGTGATGACTTCACACTATAATGAGTTTGATAAGCTAAAGTCTTGCAAAAGATTTTGTGTTGCATCTTGGAATATGTGATTCGTTTGCACTACTACACCATTCTACTACTGTGTAATAGGATTGAGAATTGCCATTGTATGTTGAGGAATTACAATTTCAATAGACAACCACCACAGCTAAGGAATTCCTTGGATGTATACTCCTTGCCTCCATCACTTTTTAACATTTTGATTTTCTTTCCTATTCACAACTCCACCTGTATTCCTTGAATTTCTCGAAGGCTTCTGACTTTAGTTGATGAGCTTCACTGCTATGATTTGTGAGAAGTCATCTATGAAGGTCACGAAGTATAACTTTTTGTCTCTAGAAAATGTGGTCATATTCCCAAAAAGATCAGAATGAATTAGTGTTAGAATTTCTTTAGCATAATTAGTGGTTGTCTATGGACAAGGGAGCTGGTGGAGTTTACTGATTGCACAAAGCTTGCAAATATTCATTACACATGATGAGGTGATGCTCAAACTTTTTACCATTTCTTTTGCCACTAGTTCTTTTATGTCTTGTAGGTTTATGTGGCTAAGTCTTCTGTGCCATATTTGGAGATCCACTGCTTTCTTCGTCCCAGCAAGGAGAGCTTTTGCTAGCTACACCACCTAGCTAGGCATTAAGTTGGCATTAAGTTGATAGAGACTAGCATGTCTTCTCCCACAAGCTATTCCATTTTTGTTCATGTTTGTGATTGTGCACATCCTCTTTGTTAATGTCATCTTGAAATCATAATCAGCAATCTTTCCCACAATTATACCACCCAGGTGTGCTAAACAGTTGAACTCACCCCCATTTGCCAAATCATCTCCAAATCATGATTAACAATCTTTCCCACTGTAAAGAGCATCTTGTTCACTCCAAAAACATAGTAAATATTTTTCAATTTTTTTTATTCGCAACATGATGTCAATCGTCCCAATAGCTCCACCTTGTACGAGTAATCATCACTGAGAAAAATCTTTTTATATCCTGAAACTTTCTCAATGTGGTGAAAAGTTCCCTAAGGTGTGTCATGTGTTTGTTTGCCCCAGAATCATGGTACATGACTTCTACTTATGTGCCAAGTGTTCTTTGCAACCTGCTAGATACTAGTGGCTATGAACAAGTTGTCTCTTGGTTGTCATCCTTGCTACTTTCTGCTGTGCTAGCAAAGTTGGCTAACTTATTAATTTCTTACAGATGAAGAGGCTAAGAAAGCTAAGGAGGCATGAAATGCTAAGGTAAAGAGACTAATATTGACTTAATTAGCAAAGGGAAATATATGAGGAAATATATGCTTATAGCTACTTCCTCAAATTTTCTTTCAAAGTGGAATATAATATTTTTTGTTTTGATACTATTCCAATTTAAATTTTAATATAACTAATCAAAACAATGCTTAAGGGATATTCTATATTCAGTTTTTATTAATCAATACCTTGGAAATTTTTTAGGTGCAATTTTACTTTATGGAGCATGATTAAGAGTAGACTTAAGCCAAAAGATGATATGGATAAGAAAAAGGGACACCAAGAATAACAAAGTGTTAGATCTGCGATTAACTTCACCTTTTTCTCGTAGTCACTCTTGTGATTGAAATAGCTTGCATTCAAGATCCGAATGACAGAGTGATTTCAATTTTTATTGGAGTTTCCCCTCTTGAGATTCACACATCCAAGATTTTATCCTAAATAAAACAAAATGTAAAAGAAATATTATTGGAAAGTATATAAAAATATTTTCTTACCTCTTGAGGCTAGTTGTAGGTTGTATGCATTGTAGTAACTCCCACAAGCTAGCCTCATCCAATTGAGTATTTTTGTAGTTCGGATCGAGTAAGGTGCTTGCAATAAAATCTTTGAGCACTACCTTTTGAACATACTTCGGAGTTGTAGATGAGTTTCTCACAATCTCTATCTGCACTGCATCTTTGAAACAGTTGACTGAACGCTTTTGTATCCCTTCCTGCATTGGATGTATGTGTGTGCTAATATATATTATAGTTCCACAATACCACTAATAAAGTTGTTGATAACCATGACTGAAATAATACTCAAAGCCGTGCCACATTGACACGTGGCATGTGCTTTGGTGAGTTTTATGGTTTTCAATGTGTGTCACATTGACACGTGGCATGCCCTTTGGCTTGTTCTCATAGTTAGAGTTTAGTGTCCTTGTATGCCATGTGAAATACATATGTTTGCCATGTGGTGACAGTCACAACACATTCTTTGTGACTTATATCCTAGTTTTACTAGCCTCTTCATCCCGTGGAAGAAAGTAGTACATCTTGGCCCCACAGATGGCACGACATAATGGAGTATTCTTGCAAAACCGGCACTTGAATCCAATACTAATAGTGTCACTGATGAGAGGATTGATTGCAGATCCTTAAAAAAATATGGAGTTTTAACCATGCTCTCAATTGGATGCTTTATTCACACAATCCAAATACCCACCACAATGAACCATGGACACTGTGCCTTCAAAATGCTGAAAATGTATGGTCTTGATTTTGCACTAGTTGTGGACGTTTTGCTTAATTTCCATTTCCTTTTGTTTTGAGTTGATAAGAGGTGGCAGTTTAAAGAAGATATTGCCATTGTATGTAGATGGGAGCTTGTTAATAGGCCTATGTAAAAACAAGTGCACGTCAATAGAGAGGCAAGAAAATTGGAAAGCATTGCAAACAACTTTGAATATTAGTGAAGTCGGAGTTTGTAGATTCTTGGCTTGCACTGGACTAACATCTCCACTAGAATTAAAAGAGGAAAAAATGATGACAACCAACTCTTGCTTCACATTCACTTTCGCAGGATCGTAACCTCGCACTTTGATTGGAGATCCAAAAACTCAAATTTTCTTAGACTTGGAATATTGCAAATCCTAATATTGTCCACGCCCTAAAGAAGAAACCCCAATCATTCAACTACACCAAT